CCGGGGGGCCGGGCGACCCCGAAAGGCTTTACCCCCCCGTCTGTGTCACCCTGCTCGTCCCCCCCCCGCCAGCCGGCTGAAGCGAGAAAGCGTTTTTAAAAACTCAACCGGTATGGAACGGTTGAGGTGCCGAGCGGTGTGAGGCGCGCTGCCGGCCCCGGACAGCAGCGGGGGCGCTCGCTGCTGCCCAGCTGAAGGAGCCGGCCGGAGAGGGGCCGCCTTTAGCGGCCAGGGGAAAACAAGAACTTGTTCTCAAAGCCGCCTGCTGGTGCAACGCAATGGTAAATAAAGGCCACGGCCGCAGAGAGGTGGGGTGCTGCAGGGGTGAAGAGAGGAGGAAAACGGTGATTATGTGGGGATGGAATGGAGAAAATAAAATCCTAATGAAAGGTAGAGACAGCAATGAGGGAACACTGGAGGCGCCGAGGCCAGCTTTTACAAGCCAGGAGCCACTTTTTAGGAGCCAGGCTTTGCTCAGTGTAGGCGTTTTAATCCGTAGATGGTCACACCGACTCATCTCACTCTAAGCAATGTGAAAAATCGGGTTTGCTGGCTGCTTGGTGCTTGAGCTGTTTCTCCTGGCCTTTTGCAGGTGCAAAGAGCCGGCTCATCTCATCTCTTGCCTCCAGTGTTGGCTGACCCTCCGATGTGCACTTCATCTGACCCAAGCTAACTGTAAGCGGCTGATCCTCTACTCGCATTCTTATCCTATTTCTAATTGTCATTATATTCCATTTTCTACGTTACCTTACACTAAGTAGAATACTTAGGCTTACTAAAGAAGTGAAGATTGAATGATAGATCTGTACCTGGAGGGATTTATTTGCCTGTTACTGCAATTCTTAAAAGAGGAATCCAGGAATGAAAAGGGGGGGGGTAAAAGAGAGGACAGGGTGATTCTTATTTTAAAATATTATAGTAATTTAAATTTTCATTTTGCATTTAAGTACAATTTCTGGAAATTGATGCTGTTTGAAAAAGTGGCCACTTCTGAGCTAACCCTTGAGCGCGCTGCTGCCTGGCCATTTCCGCAGTAATGAGCTGGGGATTTAGTAACATAGTGAGACATAGGTGCCTAAAGCATTGGATCTACAGTATGCATCATGTTAACCAAAGCATGACCTAATCTGGACGGTTTGAAATGCAGAACTGAGGGTCATGTCTTAAGATTCACCTATTAAATAAAATGAGGCTCCACTCAGTTGGGGTTACACAACTCAACCTCTTCTGGAATTGAATGCCTAAGGCAGCTCTTGCTTGCAACTCCCAGCAAGTTGTAGCACCCTTCTCCTATCCCTTCGCTCATCGGTCGGATTGCTCCTTTCAGAGCCTTTCTCTTCCTAGTAGGATCTGAACTCTGCTTCTGTCCCTGATGTCCCCTGATGCACCACGAGGGTATCTAGATAGGAAATCCTCACTCTTTCTTGCTTAAGTTGTTCTGCTTTGTATGGAATCGACTGGGCCAGAGATGACACCAAAGTGCCTGTCTACATGCTAATTTGGGTTACGTACCTTTAATTACTGATACTTGTGTCACTTCTGTATTAAGTACTTATAAGTGATTGCATATATATATGTATTTTAATGGTATTAATGCACCTCTTTGGTTGCCTGTGATATATTCTACTTATGTTAAATTGAGTGAGAGATTACACACACTTAGGCACTGAAACAATTGTTCTAAGGCCACTGAAAACAGGACCTGTCTGGAGAGAAGTAATTTTGCTAAATTTGGAATAGTGTGTTTAAATGAAACACAGGGAATTAGACAAAGCCAAATTAACCAGTTTAGGGAAAGTCCTACAGAATTCTTTCATGTCACATGGGATATTAGAGAAGTATCTGGAAGAACCCATTGTTTTGTGCAAATTCAAGAGTGTGAGGAAATGGTTGTGATACATTAATATATATTATACTTAAATTATACTCAAGTATATTATACTTATTTTCTGTTCAGTCCTGCTTCTCTCTAGTACTTATAATTGAATAGATGGAACTGGATACCTGAAGTTCTGAATATTTTCAGGATTACTCTCAGCTGTAATTAATAGGAAAAGACAGTAAGTCTCATTTCTACTGAGCCTGCCACCACAGCACCTCTTTCCAGATGGTGACAGTAAAAACCAGCATCAGAATTTAGATGTGCTTGCCCCCAGTTTACATATCTCTCAGCATGTGTCTAATGTGGATACTTTGCTTACAATCCCACTGTTGTAGCTTGTTGATGCAGGTGGGGGACACCTAGGTTTCTGTGGATCCTGTCAGCTTAGGCTTCTGTTTGTCCATACACACAAAAGGCTGAGAATTTTTATATTGACATTACTGAAGCAAGGCCTAGAACCCAGTGACAGTTTGGGTGCCAGCTGAGTTGGTTTCAGATTGTGAATAAAAACTTCAGAAGTGGCTGAAGCAGCAGGTAAGCAGGACTGCTATCCTTTCATGGCTACAGCCTTTGAGCATCTTTTTGTTTAATACAGAATGTACATTTCAGCATGGAAACAAGGTATTCAGTGCTGCTTGTTGAACAGTCAGCTGCTGCTAACAAGTGGTCACAAATATACAGAAGTGTTTTTTGCAAAAGCTCTTGCCAAGCTGTGGTTGAAAATCCAACCTGGAACTTCTTTTAGTTTGGTGCATTGACTTTGATTTATCACTCAACAATGCTCACATGCTATTACTACGACTGTAGACTTGCTTCTGGATTAAATCTTTTTGATTCAGTTATTAAAAACCTCCCAAGTTTAAAATGTTTAAATCACAATATTCTATAATAAAGATGCCAATATATTCAGCTAGTGTGCTTGTGTAACTCACAGAGAAAAGAAATGGCTAAGTTGTCTATTAATGGAGTCATATTTTCTGTAGCACTGTGCTGACATCTTTAAACGCCTTCTTGCACAGAGGAAGTAATGTAATTCCAAATGATGCAGATGAGCATGTTGTATTTTGATGACAAAAGGCACACCTACACAGCCATCTCATGTTGTTCTGTCACTTGCAAGAAATGATGGAAACTAAAACAAAAGTTGTCTTTCTGCCACGGTCTCTGTGAAGCGGAGATATGGGTTTTGTTCCTCTGTTGTCTTATGCAAGTCACATACACATAGTGAGCTAGACACCTAGCAGGCACCATAAGGGATTAGGAAAGAGGGCAAAAGAAAAAATGTCCACTGTAGACATGAAAACACCAAAAATTAGGAGCAACTACATAGAGAATTTTACTGTGTCCTAGATTTATGCAGCTTCTTGAAATTAAGTACTGAGATAGCTAATTTTAAGCATATTACTAATTTCAAGAAAATACCATATATGAAGGTTCCTTTATAAAAGGTCAGTAAATGCTTTAACATATTTCCTAACAAATAGTCATTTGGCTCATATTTTGATAAAGATTGCAACGGGCTAATAGGCTGTTTATTGCCATGGTTTATCACCAGCTATGATGTCTTCTACTGATGTGCTTGTAACATTTCCAGTGGATCCCACTCCATTTTCAACACGCTAATAGAATACATTAATAATGTGCAATCTTTATAAGCCCCTTAAAATGCAACCAGGATATAATCGTGTATTTAATCTCTCTTGTATTTAACGGAGTGGATTTAATACTGAAAAAGTATGCTTCCAGCCAAAGAACAGGCCCTTGTGGGTGCTGGTTGTGCGAACAACATTTGCCAGTTGTAATGAACTCAGACTATGAATTCTAATAGCCACTGAAGGTTATCCATGGCAAATGACTAATGCCTTCTAAATTAAGGTCTATAATTGCACTCTAGTGATTAATGCATTAAATTACTGATTTCTTACATGTAAGACACTTACCAAATGTGTATCTTATTGTACCTCTGGGCTCACCTATAATGTACAATAGGCAGGTGAAATACGTGATCATTCCCACAGGCTTCTTCTTCCACCCACACAAGAGCAACGCTGTAATAAAGGTCATTATTTCTGGAGACATGCATTTTCATATCTTGCATAGGTAATGACATGAAGTTCTTTTGCCATATGAGTCTCAGTTAGAATTATCATATTAAATACCAAGAATTATTTGATTTTTTTCCCACCTGGATTTCACAACAAACAGGAAAATCTGTGATCTTCTTACTAAACCTCCAGCCTTAAAAAAAAAAAAAAAGCCAGTGTGGGTTGTGTTGAGTGTTTGGGGAATTATTAAAGTGTTTTAGAAAGCTTTTGTCAAAGCAGTGAACTCAAGAGTTTGTCCACAGAATGGATAGGATAAGAAAAGACAAATTTGTACATGTACAAAGGTAATTATTCTCCCTTTATGTATATAGAAGGATCCAAAATGAGCCTCTGCAAGTGAATCTTTTCCTAGTTTAGGTAGTGTCAATTTGTGAGCTTCATTCTCAGTGAGACTGAAGACTTTGGAGAGGCAGGTTTTTGCATTTATATGCCTTTTTAGCCTCGGCTACCACTGAGTTCAGTTACAAATATGACAGTGTTAATTTGAGCAAAAAAGAGAGAGGCAAGATCAGTAAAGTCTGAGCAAAGTTTGATCAATTGATGAAAGTGCTCTATCAGTCTCTAATTAAGAATAATTTGACATACTACATTTTAGCTTGAAAATGCCAATATTTTCATTTTAACACACGTTGAAACCGAAGTTTCATCTGTTGAAATTTAGCATTGTCAGGTCTTGGCCAAAAAGCTCAGAGCTGTGCTTACCATGCCTTGGATTCTGAAAAATAAGGCAAAAATATGCAAAAGGGTAGTGTCTGCAGAACTGGTGCAGACAGCTCTGCTTCTCTCCAATGTCTGAGTAGGTTGTAGGAGAAAAATGTGCTCCTACACTTAAAAAATAGATACATAAAATACAGGCCTGTATTGTCCGACCTCCACAGCTGTACAGGGCAAATCCCTATTTCGGGCCCTGCTGCCAGGCCAGCCAGACGCAGCAGCACCTTCCCCCTAAGGCTGCTCAGACTAGAAGGAGACCTTTGTTCAGGCAGCGCCCGCCAGCCAGCCAGCTGTTCCCCCTGTTCTGTGAAGAAAAGCTGACTGGAGCCAAAAACCTGGTTTTATACTAACCTAAATACCTTTCAGACTGTGGGACTGTAGTAAATTGGCCTGTGACAGCTTTTGTGTTACTGAATTGTCCAGCATTTGTATGCAAGTGTACGTATGCACGCACTTGTGCAAGCTCAGTTCTCTGCCCTCAGAAACCCCCCCAGGAATCACACAGCACACGCAGGATCAGGTTAAGATAGGAGAGAGCCCCAAGAAATAACTCCTGCAGTGTTAACAAAAAAGGAGGATGAAGGTAAAACAAAATCCACTGGTAACACCAAAAGAAATGTCCCGTGAAATTGAAAATTGTACACACTGACAATATGCCAAGGTTGTGCACACAATGGGGATTTAAAAGTCAGCACCTCCACGGCAGCCTCGTGACTCCTGTTGCACTTGAGACATCTGCCAGTTAACAACAACGTATTCAGCTGGGATGGCTGGATTGCTCCATTCTGACCGCTTCTCCCAATGTGAAAATGACAGATGAATTGCAACATGTCATGTTGTGCCACTCAAAAACACAAAGGGTGAGGAGAGCGTAAAAACAGCATATCACTTCTTGCACTCCCAGGAACATTATTCTTTTAAGGATCTCCAGAGTGGTTTATTAGCAAAGCATGTAATATCCTACAGAAAAAGCCCTTAACATTTTTTTTCACATGGAAAGATGCCTGCAGGCATCAGAATAATAATCTGAAGACTCGATGGTAGATCACATTTTTAGAATCAGAAGGAAGTAATCTTCTACCCAGATTCAAGAGGGAGGACTGCTGGCCACACGAGTTCCCAGGCTGGCTGGCAGCCCCTCTGCTGCTGCCGCCTCTGGCACCTGCACCCAGGGCAGGACTGGCCCACCATGGAGCTGTGCCAGAGGCCGTGCTTCCTGGCAGCCCCCTGCCACCGCAGCCCCTTCCGGAGAGGTGACCTGCCCCTCAGCCTCCTGCCCCACAGCAGGTAATCCCATTGACTGGGGTCTCACCTGCCAGGATAGAAAAATCAGCAGTTGTGCTGTACCTGCCCAGTTTAGCCAAGCTCCAACCAGTGCTGCTTGCACTCCTGCTTTTACGCTGACAGCAGGCTGCTGGCCAGGAGTAACTGGAGACAGCACTCGGAGCAGGAGCTGGCTCAGCAGATGTGACATTGCTTCTGGCTTCATCCACACCTCAGAGTCCAAGCTTTCCAACACAGAATCTGTTTTTCACTTTTGTATGGCCTCTTCCTGTGTTCTTCCTACCTGTTTCAACATGAGTCACCTTCTACTCATTTTGTGCTACCAGCACAAGCCCTAAACCACTGCCCTTATCTATACCTGTTCCTGCCGTGGAAAGGGCTGCCTAAGGAAGAGAGAGATGCTGCAGAGGCTAAGCTGCTGTGACTCATTGCCTGTGAAGCAGCCATCACCTCACAAATCATGTTTGCCTGAAAATAGCATGCTTGCCATTTTCAGGAACCCCACAGATTGCTGGTATTTTTCATTTACTTTGTACATTTGAGAGAATTTTGTGTCTGGTCACCTTTGCTGCTGGCTTTCCCGGACGATTTGCATTGATGGAGCTCTGTGGGACAAGACCCGGTACAGATGGGCTACAACAGCATTAACTTGTGTCTCTTTTGCACTAGCGTATATAGTGCAAATCAACAAACAGCCTTCAGCAGCGAACAGCTGGTGTTTTTAAGCCAGCAGAATCAATTCTCCATGACCATGCCAAGGGGCAAAGCAGTTGCTCAAGTAGAATATTTCCCAGTTATCACATATTTGTGCTTTTGATTTTTTTTCCATTTCCTACCTTCTTAGAATTATATGAAACGGTTGTATTTGGCATCCGCATATTTGAGATTTAAAATCTGTTGCAATCTGCTTGGCATCAGTTTCCCTGTAAGCTTTCAGCACATACTTATTGCTCTCCACATTCGTTCTTAATTTCTTTCTCTGTGGTCCCACTAATTAAAGCCTTAGCTCATTTTCATTTAAGGTCCAAACTCTCTTCAGTCTGTAAAAGAGAAAAATATTATTCAAATGTCAAAGGTCTTCAAACTCTTGTATCTGTGTTGCAGGCTGTGATGATTACGCAGGACTCTCTCTGACCAGCAGCCTGGGGTGTGTGCTTTTCTCACTCAGTAACCAAATCTTTACCACAGAGCTTAAATATATAATTGCATGGCAGAGGCTGTTTCTTTCCACAAAAGCACTTATGAACATGTCTTGCATTAAGCTTTGAGATTTCAGTGCAAGCATGGGCTAACATTTCTCTGGTTTACATGCTGATTTTTCCTTCCAGGGTCCTAATTCTGAACATGAGATTTGGCTGCAGTGTTGTGAACTTGCTATTCTCCAAGTGCATGACTAATCTGAACAGAAAAATGAATGCACGGGGACAACACAACAATGAGGCTACTCCTAAGCTTGGGTTTTTTTATTCAAGGTTTTAAAATTTGTTTAGTTTTCAATGGCACTCGCTTTGGAGCCTGTGTGAGTCGAAAATAACTCACTACCTCATACAGCTGAAGAACATGCTGATACAATGATCTGATGGTGTGGTGTGCTGCTGATGTAAAAACCAAAGAGGACAAACCAAGGAAAAGAAATGATAAAACACTGCTACAGGGAAAGGCCCATTCTGCCACAGATTAAATATAGCAACTTGAGTGGGGGGCTGCTGTGCCCAGTGTACCTGAGCAAGCAGGAGGAGCAATGTGGGCAGCACAAGTTGGCATGGGGGGCAGAGCACTGCTCTCCGCCACTGCGTGCAAAGGCATCAGCCTCCTGGTTCTCACATCCTCCACAGATGTGACTACAGGACGTGCAGATGTTGTGTGCTGCAAGCATGGGTGCTGTCGGAGACCCAAGGCCCACTGTCATTTCTTGCTGATTATTTGGGAAAAAAGGCCCCTTTCTAGTTACTGTGTGTTCAGTCTTGGACCACAGAAGTAGAGTGCATGGGGTTCAGTCTTCTTTTGGGCTAATTAAATTATCATTTAATTTCTTGAGAAAGGATACTCACTACCTTTTCTTCTGAAGAAAGCCAACATCTAAATTTATCTTGGGTGTTGCGTTTTTTAAATAAATTATTTATAGTTTTTAAATTGTGTAGTGAAAAAAAAGCATTTAGAACATGTGACAGAATGGCAGTTCTTGCCAGTGCTGCAAACAAACTGCGGCAAAGCCCCTTGTGCTGGAGACCAATGTGCAAACCTGTGGGGATGAAATCACATTTTAAAACTGAATTTGGAAGGCAGAAAATCCTCTCAAGAAAATCTGTTTGCATTAACGGATGGAAGTAATTTCCTCCCTTGTTAGATATTCTAGTGAAGGCAGATATTTGATTTACATCTGCTGTCTCCTAGTGACATAAAATGTGGTTTGGTGACACAGTCTCAATGAAGAAACTGAAGGTCAGGGAACTATTAATCACTCTTTTGCTCATAATTTAATACTTTATATTTAGGATACTTAGGCATCCAAAGATGAAGACAGTGCTATGCTGGATTTAAAAAGTGTCTAAGAGGGGAACTGTCTTACCTTCACTTGCTTGTCAGTGCCTAGAGCAGCCAAAGGCTATCGATGACCTGTTGCATGGCCCTACATTGCTAAGGCTTAAATGAATGCACAATACCACAGTGCACCCAGTCAGACTCAATTCACGGCAAATAGTGTGATGCAAGTAAAATCAGAGAGCTGAGTGGAGTTTCCAGAATCCAGTTTTGCTCTAATGAAGTGTAATGCTAAACCCCACCTTCTCTTGGATGGGAGCACATGGCCTTTCTTCAGCTTCTGGGAAGCAGCAGTTGGGGACTTCTGACTGCACGGTCAGAAAGAAAGAGCTCGTCGCTGAAAGGGGCTCAGTGGTCCCTGTTCCCATCCATTTCACTGGAAGCTGAGAGCAGTGTTGTCCTGGTTTCGGCTGGGATAGAGTTAATTTTCTTCACAGTAGCTAGCATAGTGCTGTGTTTTGGATTTAGTACCAGAAGAATGTTGGTAACACACTGATGTTTTCAGCTGTTGCCAAGTAGTGCTCAGACTACTCAAGGACTTTTTGAGCTTCTTCTGCTCATCCAGGTGCATAACAAGCTGGGAGTACAGCACAGCTAGCACAGCTAACCCAAACTGACCAAAGAGCTATTCCATACCATATAACGTCATGCTCGGGGGGGTTAGTTAGTTCGGTCGGTCGTTCGGTTCGGTCAGTCGTGGGCAGAGTGGTCGCAGCTCGAGCTGTGTGATCGCGGCTCAGGGGGAGTGATCGCGGCTCGGGACGGGCTGGGCACCGGTCAGCGGGTGGTGAGCAATTGCATTGTGCATCACTTGTTTTATATATATTCTGTATATTCTCTTACTATTATTATTACTACTATTGTTATTCTTCTCTCTTATTAAACTGTCTCTATCTCAACCCACGGGTCTTACTTTTTTTTCTTTTCTCCTATTCTCTCCCCCATCCCACAGAGGGAGAGGGGGGAGTGAGCGAGCGGCTGCGTGGTGCTTAGTTGCCAGCTGGGTTAAACCACGACAAGTGTGTATATCCAGAGCCTTCTGTCTGCAACAGCTCCTAGAATGAAAATTTCAGGGAACAGGAGACTGCCAGACCAGAGAAAACTGACATTAAAATACCTTTAATGATACCTCTTCTTGGCAATTCTTTCCCCACTTTTTCCATAAAGCAGGGAGAATATTACCATCTAACTCATTGTAGATATGTCTATCTCTAGTAAGATGTGTCAGATCAGACCAGCACTGTAAGCCTAACTGAAATGCTGGACTCCTTACAGCTGCCATGATGTCCTTCTTAATGCCGGGCTTCAGTGCTTCTGTGGCTGTATCTAAGCTGCCCACTGCTGCAATGTGAATGGATACGTAAGTGAACCTGGTACTTGACTGTGGCACTTCTCCTCCCCCATGGCTGCCCAAAACCCGATGAAAACCCAGACAGTGGGTGTATAAGTAGGCAGCTGACTTTGCCAGTTGGACTAACCCTCATTTTTGCTGCAGCACTTCAGTAAAAGCCAATTATACCTTACTTCAAGTACATCTGTATCAGTGATAGACTGCAGACATTTATAGTCTTCATCAATGAACAGGCTAAGCTAAGCTAAATTGGTCTGCTAAACATTTAGTAAGTAATTAACCCTGAATTATCAACAACAGGCAGCTATGGTAATGGTTATGAAAGAAATAACAACCGGTTGCACAGTTATTAGTACGAGACTGCTGAACAAGGCAGACGAACAGCATGTGCTGCCATAGAATTAATAGAAGGGACAACGGTGGCAAGTGCGATCTCCCGCAGGGTGGTACAGTTCCAGGGGCTGAGATAGCTGCTGAAAGGCACTTGCTTTGGCAAGAGCAGCGTGTACTCGGCAGTAGATGGATGGAAGTCAGAAGCGGATGGTAATAAGGAGCGTTAAAAATAAATCTAGCCTAATTAGGTTAAAAAAAACCCCGATGTGAACCTGACAGCTCAGCAACTGGCAACTGTTTAGTTCGAGCAGTTATCCTGGGGACAAGAAATTCATATTGGAGCACCAGGAAGCAAACGAATGAAGTGACCTGCTGTGCACGCTGTGCTCCCTAACTGGACCGTATCAGTGCCCATTTTCTGAAGCTGTGAGCTCACCAGTTTCAGAAAGAAGGGTCTCTTTAAAATGTCTTACCTTGAAACACCCTAAAATACTAGCTAATTCTTAAAAATCTTGGCTACTGTGTTAGCATAGGAGCATTCGCATGCACCTGTGAATTCTGGGCCAATGAAAGATCGTGAGCCAACAGGCCTGGGACCGAGGCATATAGATATGTCATGCATGTAGTAACGTGGGCTCCCCTCAGTGTCCCTCTCTAACCATTTTCATGGACCATTTGTCAGGAGAGTGAGGAGCTCCATGTCCTTTTGTCCTTTCTTGTCCTTTCTGCTGAGAACATAAATGAGGAAGGCAAATAAGAGCAACCTCTTATGAGGGAGAGGACATGTCCTGCTGGGGACTGCACTGCAATTAAGCAACTTGTTTTGCTTCCCAGCATGACTGAGGTGGCAGGATAAAACTGGAACAACAGCATTAGTTACAAAAAAAAAAAAAAAAAAAAAAAAGGAGAAAGAATGTAGAAGGATAAGCAGCAGGGAAACAGAAGGCAAACACAGTAAAATGGAAAAAGTGGATCCAACCCAACACCAAGGCCCTTACTGCAAGCAGAACCAGTCTGACCACTGAAATGTAGAGGTGATGGAAAAAGAACTGCTGGATCCCCCGACCTGGAAGCTTGTCTTCCTTCCCTGCCTTTTGACTTGCTTTTGAAACAGTTGTATTAGGAAAACAGCTCCCTCTGTTCTCTACTGGAGAACATGGGAAAATTATCCATGTACCCCTTGGACTTTATTAAAATTTAAGTGGCTTTTCTTTCTTCTCCCAAGTCTCTGTGTAATATATTTTATCAGGTGAGTCCAGTTTTCCTGAATTACAAAATGTCCCCATGTAGCAGCTTCCCCCTCCTCCCTTTGCCTTGCTGAGGAAAGCTGCCTCAAGAATCCCAGTCAGCCTTATCCACCCAGTTTCTGTATGGGGTCTATGTGAATTATTAAAAGTCTGCTCTGATACCTGGACAGCAGATAATTTAACCTCAAGCTAATGCTCTTTCTGTTATTGTTAAATAACACATCTTACTGTCCTGCAAAAGGTAGGGCTGGAAGAACGGGCTGCATGCTACTTTATAATGGTAGTGACAAGGGAAATCTTACACAGTGCATGAAAGAAGTTATATACGTTATTCTGGGGGAGAAGGATTTGTCTGTCTACTCTGTCTGCACACCCTGGCCTGGGAAAGCGATAGGCAAAGCAGGACCCATCTCCCGTCCGCTGCAGTGCAATTCCTTTGGGAACCGCGTCAAAGGGACTGGACATGCCCTTGACAATCGGAGATGCTCCTGGCTTTGGGGGAGATGTTTACTTGCTTTCTAGTTCTTCTTGCCCTGGAGTCCTCCCTGAGAATCCACGGGAGACCAAGAACAGGAGCTTGAGATGCACTTCTCTCATCTGTGCAACTCCTCCTCTGACAGCTGATGCGTAAGCGATGCGACCATCTGCAGCACAGCGCAGAGAGGAATAAACAGCTTTTGTGGCATGGGAAGCAAGTTTTGCATAAACATGACAATAGTCTCTGCGCTCCAGTGCCTGAGCTGCTGTTTTTCCTTGAACTCAATGGCTATCTTCAGATAATTGCCAAGAGAGGATTTACTTCACCTAATGTGCAAGGAGTATTAGAATGGGTACATTCATTTAACTGCCTAAGAGAGACACGAAGACCAGAAAATCCCAAATTTGGATTTGTCACAGAACAAGATTCTGAAATCAATGTCACTTTACTGCAACAGGACTTTTAATGGACTCCAACCCGTGCTACACTAAAAGCTTCTGTTGGTGGAACAGAGAGCATTTCTCACTGCAATTTTGACGACTTCTGACCAGTTTGATCAGTGTGGAGTTAGTCTATAAGGGGAAAACCATGCATCAGCCAAGTTTAGTTCTCACAAGCTGGGAATCACACAGAAACAGAATGAGAAAGGGCACTAAAGCTCATGCACTGCATCCCACCCCAGTGTTTTCCTGGCCCCTATTTATTTAAAACAGTCCTTAAAAATCTCTCATAACAGAGGTTTTGGACAGCGTCCTCAGACCATCTCTACTTGATTGCAATCATCTCTGTGGCTAGAAGGTTTTTCACAATATCTAACCTAATTCTCTCAAGCTGCAATTAAGCTTATTATTCTTGTCCTACTTAAATGGATAATTCCCTTCTTTGCAAAATATGCTTCTTACAGAAAGCCAAATTTGTGTGTCCCCTTTGATCTTCTGTTGTTCACACTGAACACTACATGATCTCTAATGTGACCTGTGAGGACAGGCTCTTCCAAACTTCTTATAACACTTGATTCTCTCTCCTTGGCTTCCCTCCAGCTACTTACACATTTCCCTTGAAGAGGAAAAAATTTGCTCAACATTTGACACGCTGCTCTAGCTGAGGCCTTACTAGTGCTGAGAGGAGCTGAAGGCTTGCTTCATGCATTTTATAAGTTCTAGTTCTGTATAAACATCCCCATATTGGCATTTAACATTTCCACAACAGCCAGGTCCTGTTGACTCATGCTCAGGTTGTGATTCACGCCCTGCAGAGCTGCTGCAAGACCTTGGGTCCCCACCCTTCCCACAGCACTCTGCGGGTCAAGCCCTCATTCATAAGTCAGTGTTGAAGGCTGACACATTTTCATTTTTAGAAATACTGGCACGATGCAGCCAATTCTTGTTTTTCTTTCCTGGAGTTCTCAGTACATACCCTTTCCTCCCTCTGCTGAAGGCACAGAGGTTGTCCGTCTTCACTTAACGCGCTGCTTCTCCCCTCACTGAGGGTTTTCCTGTTTTTTTTTTTTAAATTCACATCCCGTTAGCTCAAGCGAAAACAGCTTATGATCTGCATAAGAAGCACTCATGCTCCAGTCTGGTTCCATTTGCATGGAAAACATACTGTCATGATCTTACCAGCTCTCCAGTCTCTCGGGTCCCTAAGAGTATCCACTGTCCCGAAGGTTTGGCTGCCGGGGCTCAGGCAGTGCTCGAGGTTGACCTGAACTCTTAGGCCAGGGAGCTGCAGGGTCCTCCAGGCTGGCAGGGTGGCCGGGCAGCTGGGCAGGCTGGGGGGCACCTGGGGGCAGCCCGCAGCTCAGGGCATCAGCTTGTGGGTCGGGGCACGGGTGCAGATCCCGGGGCAGGCAGACCTCTTCTGAGAATTCAGGGTCCATATGATAAAAAAAAAAAAAAAAAGCAGCAGAAACAGTCTTCTCTTTCCTCCCAAATATTCAAGCATGCAAAAACCCCAAACTCAACCACACAAGTAATCCCCCCACCCCAACATGCTTTCAGGAAGTCTTATACATCATAAGCAAATACAGGTAAAACCCTTTCTTTTACCTTTGCAAGTTATATTCAGTACGGTGCTATCAAAGAACTATCAAGCAATATTAATACATCAATGTTTTCTAGTGTATTTGCAGTTCTGCACTTTTAAAAATAAAATGGTCTAATAAGCCATAAATTTACATTTCCTAAGTTACCCTGTCAGGCTCCCTTAACAAAATGACTGCAATATGATACATAGAGCAGCGTCAATCTGTAAAACCATACAGCTCCAAATATTAATCAGAAGCTTTCCTAACAGAAATTAATAAATGGAAGTCCAGAAATTTAATAAGGAATGAAATTTCACAAGCTGTTAAAAGAGCAGCAAAGACCGACTTCATAATATTTTATAGGGCATCTAAAGTAAGTTCAATGCTTTTCATAGAATCATAGAATCATAGAATCACTTTGGTTGGAAAAGACCTTTGAGATCATCGAGTCCAACCTTTAACCTAACCCTGCCATCCCACCACTAAACCATGGCCCTAAGCACCTCATCTATCCTTCTTTTAAATACCTCCAGGGATGAGGACTCGACCACCTCTCTGGGCAGCCCATTCCAGAGCCTGACAACCCTTTCAGTGAAGAAGTTTTTCCTAATGTCTAGCCTAAACCTGCCCTGGCGCAGCTTCAAACCATTCCCCCTCATCCTATCATCTGTTACCAGGGAGAAGAGGGCAACCACCACCTCACTACAGCCTCCTTTCAGGTAGTTGTAGAGGGCGATCAGGTCTCCCCTCAGCCTCCTCTTCTCCAGACTAAATAACCCCAGTTCCCTCAGCCGCTCCTCGTATGACTTGTGTTCCAGACCCAGTCATGTTATGAAACAAAAATCACTTAACTGACCGGAGGCTTGAGACGTCCTTTGGTTCTAGGTTGGTATTTCAGCACTCTTCTCTTGTTTGCTTCTCTTGTGAACTGAACTTCAGTTGGTAGTGCAAACACCTCTGGAAAGCATGGGACCTGAAAAGGAAGGGGTAGTAAAGAAAATACTAACACCCAATAGATAAAGCCCTGGGATAAACCTGAAGATATAACTGCAATTGAAACAATTTCAGCAGAAAAAAATTGTAGATCTTATGTAAGCAAGAATGGAGGATAATGTGGAAAATGTCTTATATTTCAAGACCAATCACTGCGTGCTCATCAATGATACCGTAGAATAATTGAGATTATTGTTGTAATTGCGTCTCCATTACACGGGTTTTTGTCTCCATTTGCTTCTTGCTGTCATATACAGTTGCTGACAGGATGCTAATAAACACTTTCTTGAATGGCAGCACATCTGTCATTCTGCTAGCCTGACTCGTAAGTGGGGCCACTAGATGCTACCACAATACAAATAAATAATGAAACAGTCATGAAAAAATAACAGAGCAACTTGTAGCGATGCTCTATGTAGAGCAATAGGGATGTTATTGGTTTACTTTGTACATAGAATCAGAACTCAGTCTCGTTTTTTCCTTTGGTTTGGATTAGCCCACATGATGGCAATCTCTGTCATAAACATACAGCGAGTTCTTCCTTCAAACACTGCCAGTTTAACATATGTTTTGTTTGCATGATACCGAAAATAAGATGAGAAAATCTGCTTGGTTTTCAATAAATATATGAAACATTCAGGAGTTTTCCTGACAAATAACGAGTAGCCTGTAACACCACAAAGCTGAACCGTTCATACAGGCTTTAGCACAATGCTCCGGCGTAGAGGAGAGAAAAGCCAACAGCAGCATCTGTAGAAGCCATGCCACCGCTGCACCCGTTTCACATGCTGTGCATATCCAAAACCCCTCTGTCCCGTCGTAGCTGGATAATGACTGTAAAGCGGAAAACTCTACAGACCAGGTGTTCTGCTGCCATCTCAGCCTTCAGGCGGGAGCAGGTGAAACAAGTGAGGAAGAGGAAAAAAAGGCCAACTACACACAGTCAAATAAGTCAAAAGAACTGAAACTGAACTTTATTGTTTTTTTAAAAAGTATTCTACAATAATGGCTCAGAATACTACCACAATGTACAGGGACAAGGTAGTGCTCTGGGCTATGACTGTAGATTACTCTAGAATATATATATTTGTAAGAGCTAAAGAAAGGTTGAAGCAGGGCAGTTCAACATTTCTTAAGCACATATTTCATAATTTTAACAGTTTCTAGATCTCTCATAGCAGGATTTATCAAATGCAATGTAGTCACAGAAGTCTTGCATAAATACAAATATCGATACTTTACCTTGAATATTGTATATGATATAAATTCTGCCTTACCTTTAAAAAAATCTCCAGATCATTATATGACCTGGGAGTCTTTCCTTTTCTTTCTCTTTAAGAGTTTTTAAATATATATTTATATATATTTGCTATCATACATCAAAGTATATATGAATCCCATCATTTCTGGTCTATTTTGTGCAGACATGGTCTGAAACAAAATCACCAACAACTAAATCAAAAGCTTCCTGGCTAACATAGGAGAGCCAAAGAGGATCTTTCCTCTTTTTTTCCATTTCAGTACTAGTATTTTTTTCAACTTGTAAGGATTCTTCATAAACTAGAGGTCCATAATCTAGTCTTTATAAGCAAATGTACATACTTTGACATGCTTTTGTGAGGCAGTTAGTATCAAAATCCCATAGTATTTCTTACAGAGCCATATGACTTTCTGCGATGCAGATATACATTTCATTTCTAAAAAGCCACAGTTCTTTTTCTACATCTGCTCTCATCAAATCCCCAGGATTCATTCATAAAACTGCTGCTGTTCCAAATGCTGATGCTGTTATCGCTGCTGTGGATTAAGATGTACACCCAATCTGGTGACATCATCGTGTGGAAGATTGATAAGTAGGAAAATACCCTCCCCAAATCCACAGATAGTCTTTTCTATCTCTAAATCCTCATGATTCGTGTCACCCAATGGTGCAATGCGACGAAGACATGTCTCTGTGCAGGCTAAGGGTCTTCTTCCATCAAAGGAATCTCTAGGGGAAAAAAAGAAATAGCACTGATTGCTGATTGTCACTTGCCTTTATACTTTTGCAGAGTATTAGTATTAGCAATTCTGCAAAAATAGAAATGGACATTGCAAAAATCTGAACAATACATACAGTATCTCCAATTCTAGACCCACTTGCGCTCTAACACCTATGTGAAAATTAACCTACCAGAAGTACCCAGATTTTCTAAAACAAGTTAGGCCCACGAAAACCTCAATGCAAACATGCTTTCTACTGCATTAATTACTGAATCAGCATTCAGAGTAAGCAGGGACTTTTGCTGGCATTATCATAATTTGTCCCTCCTTCTAGCTGTCCTCTTCCCCTTGTGATGCCATTACAAGTTTAACCTCAACCCTATGAAGCAGGAAGATTTCGTCCACCCAGACTTTCACCCACACTAAATTTAGGACACTGGGCTTCAGCTCTGCTACCGATAAATCACACAGAGATTTCTTTGCCTAGTGACTCCCAGTGACTGTGGAGAGCAGGATCACAGCCGCTCCTTTTAAATGTCTCCAAGGAAAGCTGTCTAGTTTCCTTAACACGCCAAGCAGCACACCATATGGCTCCGTCAGAACTCAATGAAATTACATCAATGCGTGCTCACGTTCAATTTAAATGCAGACGATTATATATGGCCATTTCCCTTCTCATACGTGGTCCTGTGGGTACATTCCCCTTTATGCTGTGACTCCCATGTCCATGGCTTAATGCGTACATGCTTTAGACTGAACAGTTTGCTTTACACGCAGACTTGATGAGCTTGTTAATAAAGGCTGCTAATTTTGGCTTAGTATGAAAACATGTTTTCTTTTCCATTTTAAGGAGAAAAATCCTGTTCTTTGCTGTGAAAGCCATGGCATGTGAGTGAGTGTAGGAGCTGAGGAGCAGATGAACAGACCAATACAGGCAAGATGATGGTTGGCTTCGCTGCTGTACACAGGTACCCCCTGACATCCCTGTTGATGACACTGCTGTTATGGGGTCTGGATGAGAACCTTCTGGCCTGGGATTCAAACCCTTGCACCACAGCTAGCAATGATACATCACAGACACAAAGCTCTATGACCATGGACTAGTGTGGTTTAAAAAATGTCCAAATTAAGATGTAGAAAAAACCATGTAAAAAGTAGGAGCAGGTCAGCTGGGTTTATTCCTGCTCTGACAGTACAAACAAACGAGGGCTCCTGTTTAGGGACTCACCTATTGCACCTATGCAAGACTCACCATCTGCAATATCGATCCGCGGACTCGTGGATGCAGCCTCCCCAGCAGTGCTACAGGACATGTCAGTTCGATCTGAACCGGGAAGCGCTGCTGCTTGGCATGCCGGGGATGGGTACAAACTTTGGAGCAGTTCAGAGGAGCCTGACCTACTGTCACAGGTCTCAAATTCGCTAGGCAGCGTGTCTGTAATCCTGGGGCCGGGGTAAGCTGGAGGATTCTGATCTTCTGTCTGCAAACTATGTCCCTGGTCTGTAGTAGCTGAATATCCGGGTGCTAGAGCATTCAAGCCGCTGTTTACAGCTTCATCATAGGAAGGCAGCATGACAGGAACGCCATCCACCACCACAAAGTCGGGGTCACCCATGGAGCCCTCCTGGTTGCCTCTATGTCAAACACAGAGGAGTTATCACAGAGAGCAGGAGCATGTCAGAAGCACCTCTGAGCAGCTCCTAAACTTCAGTAAACACAGCACTTTCTAGTCATGCAAAATGAAGCTACAGGGTCATTAACATTCACAGGAATGTTTGCTTCACGGGTTTGCAAAACTCTGTTCAGGTTTGACAGTCAGGTGGAGTCTGTTACAATCAGAAAAATAAAACCAGTAATGTGAAGAACAATTTTGAGAAGGGAAAGAAAACAGGTGCTTGGAAGAGATAAGGAGCACTGTTTGCTGTGCTGTGCACAGTAGATATCATGGATATAAGATCACAGATGTAGTTCAGCAGTCAAAAGTGTCTCAATCACTGGAAAGATGTGTGCTAGAGCACAAAAGTGTTTCCAGCCCATGTAAATGGGCACTGAGATGACTACTACTGGATGGCATGGCTTTGGTTGCCAGATTTGTGGCCTCCTTCAGGTCTTACTTTCAAAGGAGGAAGGCTTCCTTAACCAGTACTAAGCTGGTTTCTTTTTTAAGCTAAACATTTCTATTAATTGGGAAGGTCTGTTAAACCCTCAAGTACTTGCTTAGTAGCCAATTAAATCCCAGTAGAGTCCTAGTAGGAGGGAATTGGTCCCACTTACCTTTAGGACATGAAAATGTTTGAAAAGGAGAAGTCAGAAAGCCATTTCAATAAGCTAGACAAGTACGGGCTATAAAGCTATCCATAGTGCAACCCGTTACCCGTTATATACGTATATGTATACTACTCCCCATATACTATATACATATGCACATATATATGCATATAATCTTACACATCACTTATATAATCTTTAACATTAAGATCACCAAGTCCTTTCTGCTGCATATCTTCACCGACATACAGCTTTTTCGTCTCTGTTGTTTGCACGTGGTAGGATAAAGACATGAGAAAAAGCAAGCACCAGAGAGAAGGAGTCACTCAGTGAAGGTCTGAGCAGAGTGAAAACTAGAACAAGTCTAAACCCAGATACAGTACTAGCTTTGCCTAAAACTCCGCACACCTGCCTTTGTTTTTCCAGCTTTAAGATAATAATAATAATACCCACCTACCTGTCTCATGAGGAGTGCTGTGAGAATCAATGACAAATGCTCATAGCTGCACAGTATTTTTTGGAAATAAAGGAAGATGTAGGAGATGTTTATGAATCGTGATGGAAATAATATTCATGAAGGGAAAGCAAACTTTTAATGTAAATTTGTCCATGGAGAAAAAGAAAATCTTTCTTAAAACTTACATTACTAAGTCTAGGGTAGTTAAAAAATTAATTCCCCCAGCACCTGTAAGTGATTATTTAAAAATATTGTCAGCTATTTTTACATGCAGAAGCAGCAATTCTCAGTAGTAGAGCTGTAATTACTACCAAAGTGAATCTGGCAAACTTTGCCTTTTATCTTAGTTGCAGAAAGGACGACTGTGGGGTTTTGGGGGTACCCGTCCCCACTGGTGGTTCAGAGACTTGTGCTCAGAAGGTATCTGCAAGGCTTGTGAGCTGTGTTGCCTCCTCAGCAAGGAGTGCCGAATGTGAAAACTGAATCAAGGTCCTCAATCTTCAAAAAAAAAAAAAAAAAAGAAAACAGTACAAACCTTGGAAGGAAATGTGTCTTAAATTTGGTCTGGAACATCCTGGCTAAAATAACCAGCAGCAGTACTAATAAAACGCTGGTAGCAGTAAATGCCACTATTTTCCATGTTGTCAGGAGGGTTTCCTGTGTATTTGGCCAGGTTTGTTCTGTAACAAAAAGGCAATGCAAGAGTTGTGTTTGATTATTACCGCTGTTATTTTGTATTAATACTTTGACAATACTCAGAAGTGCCAGTTAGGACAAGACATTTTTATACATATGTTGTAAAAACACACATGAACTCAATGCCATATACCAAAAGCAGCCTTAACGTTTAGCTGCCACAGGGCCTAGATCTTGCTTTTTCCCCTTGACTTCTTTTATACATGCAGTCATGAACTGAGCTTATATAGATATAAAAAAATCCAGAAGATGTTAAAAAATACATTTGAAGAGCTAACGATTGAAATGGTTTAAGATCATTCAGGATGTTGGAAATGGACTGTATTTAATAGCATCTTAAAATCAATGTTCATCATTTAACCATGAAACAGATGAAATTCATCAGGCATTACAGGCCAACAAATTTGTTCTAAAAAAGAGGGACTATAAGAGTAATGCCATTGCTACTCCCTTACCTGTTTTAACACAGTATACTTGGTAGGAGGGGAACCACTCTCCGTACTGGCAGGTTATGTACTTGTAGTCATTGGTGAGGGTATAACCAGGATCACAGTAAAACTCCACGACCGTCCCGTGGTTGTAACGCTCGCAAGGCCGCGGGTGGCAGATGTAGTCTCCATGACTCACCATGGGAGGTAGTGGACAAACTTGGCCAAATAAACAAAGAGAAAATGAGAAAGACGTTAATGCCAGCAACCCACTGCTGGGTTGCTTCAGTGTGTCAAAACGCACAGGGCACATTTCAGCCTCCCTTTCAGGCTCCCTACAGTTTTGGGTTCGTCTCAGCAGCACCAGACGGCTGCTGCTGGGAGATCAGGCACCCATCCACACCAGGGGAGGGATGCACGTGCCTCCCACGTGGTAACATGGGCTGGGGTGGGTCACCTTCAGCTCTCATCAACACCAGCAAGCTCTGCTGTCACCTGCTTGTTGAAAGGCTGAGAGGTGGGATCTGTGAAGCTTCCCATCCTCTGGGGAAGAGGGGGTGGGAGGAAGTCAGACGGGGCCACATATGCCTATAAGATGGCTATATGGGGATGGAGGGGGACACTCAAAATAAGGAGAAACCCTCTCCTTCTGAAGTATCTAAAATTCAGCTGTAACATCCTGTTTTTTGTTTCATTAACATAATTAAATGGTTATAGGCACTAATTAAATTCCTAAATATTCACTGTTAAAAATTAATTTGCCATCAGCTGTGCTGCAAGAGCACAGCAGACAATGTTGCTTAAGCACTTATAGTCTGTACCACTGCAATATTATTAAGTCGAGCTTAAACTCTACCCGTGTTATTTGTGTTTTGTTATCTCCGCACAGCCTGACTGATTTCAGCGGGACCACTGGTGGAGTGAGGTCTTAAATATAACAGAGGCTGAGCCTGTGTTAATTAAGTACAGTGGTTTACATAGGTTGGGTAAATAAGAGAGAACTGCAATATAAACATGTGGAACTTTTATTGTAGGCCCTGAAATGAAAAAGAAATGTCCTCTCACATGGCTGGGCAGATGAACTTTGTGTGAGAACCCAGGGAGCACTCTCTAGGAAACAGCAGCAGAAAGCAGCTCGCAAGCAGTATTTTTATAAGAGAGGAAACTTTTCCACTGAGTAAGTGTTAGTTGATTACTATTTTCTTAAGTGCTTCTAACACAGAGGAAAAAACCCTACGAAGTGTAATGATGTCTCAAATGGCTACATACTGACCCAAAAAGGGCTTAAATTACTGGATGGCTTGTTTTATTTCCCTTCAGAGGCAGTAACTAACTGGCTTGGTGCCCCATCTACAGGCTGTTCCCTTCACTTCATGCCTCCCTCATGCAGGCAAGACCTGCTGCATTGATTTAAATAATGAAAATGCCATCTCTCGGAAGAAGAATCTTCCCAGAAATTACAATTCAGCTGCTTCTCTCTGTGAATCTTGTTACATGAATAATGCATTTCATAAAAAAATACACAAGATATTAAATGAATCTTCAAGAGAGGCTGATTACAATGTGCAGCAATGTCTATTCCCCATCCCCTGGAGACATGGTTTTGTTTGCATTTTCACTGGCAAGGCTTAATAATAACTTGAAATCAGAGCAAGTAATTCACATAAAAATTCACATCCTCAGTACTCTGCATACTTTCCAAAAAAGTCTCTGGGCCCACAAGAAAGAGGAATGCTTTACTGGGGAGTCAACTCAAGATTGAAAACAATTTTCTTAAGACTAGGGCAAAGGTGTCAGACTGAAACAGTAGGACAGCACCCTTTGTCCATATGAGGGATCATTCTTCTATTAAAAAGAAAATGATCAGTGAAAGCAACGATTCTGGCCTGCCATAAGGAAGCCTAGTGTATTTTTATTATCTACGCTTAGACCATGAGAACAAAGGAAGACAGCAATTTAAGCTTCTTTGTAACTGAGTTTTGCCAGGCTACGGCAGGCTGCAAGAGATGTGTGGATGCCCAGTACTTTTCTAGCAATGAGCAAGTAGAGCACACCTTATCACAAAGAGCAACACTCAGAGAATCAAATTTTCCTCTATAGCAATGTACCTGCTGCCTCCTCTCTAACCTCCTAATGTCATTAAGAGCCAAAGCAACCTGCTGAGTAAAAAAAGCCTCAAAGTTGGTGTCCTAGCGTTATGGATCAGCTCAGGAATGACACATTTCTAGGCAGATTAAAAACAATACACTGTGGGAACAACCCAGATACGGAGCTGTCAGTCTGTTTACAAATGGAGATGTATTTTATAAAACCTGAAAAGAAGAGCATCACTCTTTGTGTAGGATATATCCTCAGTGCTAAAGAAGAGTGCCACCCCTTCTACTGACATCCTCCATATTTCAGGGGAAATGCTCATGTGCTGCCTGGAAACTGCTGCAAACATTTCTTTAATGCACTGCCAAGCATTAGTCATCAATTAGAGTCAAGTTTTAAGCTGTCGTACCTGCCAACAGCTCTTTCGTTAAACAGTCTTGCAACCAGCAGATGCAATGGAGTGGGTTTGAAAATGAGGGTATTTAGCCCAATTGAAACAGTGCTTCATTCTTGTATCAACTGGACTGTCAGAGTCAGGTGTTCTCACTCGCTTGGGGTATCCCTCACCACCTCCTGTGAACTTTATGTTCATCCAGTTTCAGTATCCCTCAACAGCTGCATGGACAAACTGGACCCCATGTACAATCGGTAACACTCAGGTTCAGACCCTCTTTTTCCAAATCAAGTCAAATAAGATACATTGCAAACAACCAAAAATGAACTTGCTTTGACCTCTGAGCAGTTAGTCGTACACACCATCCCTTTCTCAACTTGCTCCATTCCCACGGTCATCCTGGTCCAAGATCCTTTAAAGTCAGTGGAAGGACAGCCATGAAATGGCCTTAGATTTGATCACAGACAAGCAAGATTATGAAAGTCTGGAGATCTGCTCTCCCAAAGACAAAATTTTTAGTGCAGAGCTAGTCATCTTAAAGGGTCAAATCCCTTATTTATGCTGGATACCAGTGTATGATACTGGTTACACAGATTAAAGGAATGTGCCAGATCACATACGGAGGAAGACTCGGGTGGCAATGAAAATAGCCACAAACTGATTAAAATAAAAATGTCTGACAAGTACATTTTCACTATCAAAGCTGACAGCAGTATGAATGATAAATAATCATAGAAACATGTGAATTCTACTCCAGGAAGTTCTCACAGCTTAGAAAAAGTCCTAAGTGCTGTTCTTAAATATGACACCAGATCTTTACTACCAATAGCTTTCAGCATCTTCACTCTATAAGGCTTTTACAACTTTAATGTGCTAATTACAACATCCAGCATGGATAATCCAGTAGTATCTTCTGATGACCAATATTAAAAGACCACATGCATGTGTCCTTAACTTTGGAGCTTGTCAGAGGGATGGACATAATTCAGGCAGTGTCTGCTGGTGGTTCCGCAGCATGTGATCCTGGGTCTCTGGATCTGTCTTTGTAGAGCAATTGGCCACAGACTGTAAGGGGACTTACAGGAACTTTACAGCTCTGCATTCTCAGCTTAAAAGCTGAGTCGTTCATCAAAAAGAAAGAACAAGTGTGTTTATATGGCAAACAAATCCCCTCCAGGATGCTCAAGACGCCTGTTACTCAAGGAAGTTGAAAGGAGGAATTCCTGATTTGATTTGATGGACTTCCCCGCCTGCTCTTAGGAGCTGCTGGAGCTGAGGGCTCTCCTCTAAAATCAGCTATGGGCTTTCTGCTCTGACTGATTTTAACAAAAGATTAGTACTCTCAGGAAGAGCTTAAAACCCAGGGAGTCGAGCCTTGTGTTACAAGCACTGTCACATACTGCCTTGGAGCAGAGACAAAGGCAAATCTGCCCCATGGCATGCCCGCTCCATCACAGCTTCCGCAGTGCAACAGCCACATTCCTTGGACCAGGGTCACAGCAAGGGTGATGCAGGCTGTGGGCGCTTACTGCCCAGACACTGGAAGAATAAATAGGGTTCGCCCAACAATTTTTCCTACACATTATGGTGAAGAAGCTTTTTAAACTCTGCCCAGAGGATGCTGCAGTAATTCTGTGCTGTTGACACTGGAACTGTAGGAGGGAGGGAAGATTTTTTGGCATCAGCATATTCTCTTTTAAAACTGATGGCACAGAATAAAGATGTCACGTCACTTTTAAAAAGCCACTGGTAGAGAGACAACAGTGGAGTTACAGATATTTACAGTGCTCAAAATCTTTTCAGTCAATCAGTTCAATGGCTAGTCAGTTTAGCCCTTGGTCAAAGTAGGGGGGAGGCAAATTGTTCAGGTTTTGCCCAGCTTTTGTACGTGAGCCAAAAAATAAAAGCAAAAATACCTTGAAATACAGGGCTCTTTACTTATTAAAAAGGGCTGGGAATAAGCACGAAGCTTATATTCCACCTGTGATTTTTTGCATAGTATGTTTTTTTCTCTAGATACTAGTCTGCTTTTCATGTAGGACATTAGCTGCTCAGTTAGCTGGGTTAGCAGAAAAACCCAGTGTAAGGCCAGCCATTTTCTGTTTGCACAGCGATGAACAGGGTTAGAGACATTTGCACCTAATCAGAAATAATGCTTCTTCCAAACACACCGTGAATGCCTGCTCATTATGCAAAGAGTGAGAAAATATTAAGATGAAACTTCATTATGAGAAAGACACAGATAAAAACCTGCCAGTTCCAATGTGCAGGGGAAATGCTGGTGTATCGTGCTAGATAGTCATCATAGAGGTGGACACACTGTCTGGTTTGTGCACAACCTGGAAGAGAAGAAGAGCTTCTCCTGACCCTCACTTGCCATTCTTGTACATATCAGGACAATAATTAACACCAGAAATCTGGACACCTGTCATGGCCACTGCATTCCAACCAATGCTTAATTCGAGCCACGATTTACTCCACAGGACTGCAGCAGTACACATCCCAGCAGGCCTGACTTCCCATCTGGGGTGGCCTGGTTCCCACCAGAGGCTTTACTGGCTGACTTCTGGGGTCTCAGTAAGGATCCTTTTCCATGTATTGCCTTCATACAAACACATACTTGGGTACGTAGGATCTGAAAATTCATTTTTTTACAGGAACATAGAAGTTGAAGATTACGCTTGTTCCTTTTCCTGCTTATGAACACTGCGCTAATAAAACTTGGCTCCTT